TCCCCAAGCTTTTGTGGTCCATGTGGAACCAGCCTGGCTCTCACCTCAGCAATCATTTCACCACCAGGGCCCAGCCCACACCCTCTGGTTGAGCTGAGGAGCCCCAGAAGAGCCAGGACACCTCAGAACAACTTCTGGGATGATGGCCATGGAAAAGCTCATTTGCTGGATCCAGAGCTTCAGCTGCATCCTTCCATTCCTCTCAGGAAGACCTCTGAGGAGCTGTTTAATTGCGACTTTCCTGATGTTAAACAGCCCTGGTACACCAAAAATAGGGGATTAATGAGGCCAGATTAACCCTTCTGCACCTGGGGAAGGCGTTGTGGGCTTTCCATGGGTGCTCTGAGAGCACATCAGCTGCTGGCAGGGATAAAGTGGAATTTTAGTGCTTTTGGGGGCTGCCAAGCACAAAGGTGGAAGCCTCAGGCAGTGTGGACAGGGCTCAGATGGGGACACAGCCACTGCAGGCACAAAGAGAAGAGAGGAGGAGGTGGTTTGGGGGGTTGTTTGGGAGGACAAAGGGCCTAAGAAGTGTCAGAATCTGTGGTATTGATGATTCCAAGATTGTAGAAAGTCTCTGTCTGTCAGCCCCCTGCCAAAGCAGAAGCCATAATTGGTCTGTGCTGGTTTCCAGGTTGTTTATTCTGTTTTTCTCTCACATGTTCTGCTGCCCTGCCCAGCTCTGTCCTGCAGGGCAGCGTGTGGGGCTCTGCCCTCAGTGGGATGTGACAAACATTAAATACCAGAAACTCCCTGGGCTGCATTTACAAGAACGTGCCAATATCTGTCACCTACGTTGGACAGTGTGTCCCCAGCCTGAACCAACAGAAAAATGCCAACACCACAGTGAGACATGGAGGGCATGAAGAAGGAGAAAAAGGACAAGGCACACCCAATTTCCTCCATCTTGTCCCTTTTGGACCCCTAATCTAGAATCCTAAAATTTTACTTTTGCACTCGTGCCACACTTAATTATTACTGATATCAAACACTCAGAGCTGATAATTCATCCTGTAAGATTGAAAACTCTTTTCCATGGGCAGAGATCACAGCCAGTGTCTCTGGGGTCTCTGTCCAGGGGGTTCCTGACCCCTGCCAGAGGGAAGCCCTGGATTCCCATAGGGAAGGAGCAGTGAAGGCAGGGCTCTGAGCTGCTCTGAACTAAAGGCAGGGCTCTGAACTGCTGCCTCAGCTCGGGAAAACACAGACCCAGAGCAGGAGAATGATGTCCCTGCTCAGCCTGGTGCAGCAGGTCCAGCCCCTGTGCATCAGCCAAACCCAGCTCTGCAAAACCCATCTGGGAACAGCCAAACCCTCCTGGCTGCACCAGGGCAGGGCAAAACCACCCAACATCACCAAGAGAGGGGCTGAGAGTGGCTTTTCACCCTCAGCTCGCCATGCCAGGCTGGGCACAGGAGCCTGTGCCCAGGGGTGACTCTCCAGAGCAGCAGCATCTCCTCATGAGCCTCAGGGCCACCGCACCTCCAGCGATTTTCTCTAATTGTTTCCCTAATCACATCAAATTGCCCGAGCTCCATTCGTGTTCCTGCCGAGTAATTTGCTTTTCCCCGGGCCCTGCCGGCCCTGTCTCTCCCTGCAGCCACTCCTCAGGGCTGAGGGGGGCCTCAATTACATTATGGGCTCTAATAAAAATAAGCCTAATGGAATTACACAACAAGACCAGATTAAAGCCAGCTGCTTTGCAAATCCTGGGGTTGGATTGGTGTTAGCTGAGGGAGCAAGCACATGGATCATCCCTCTCCCACCCTCTGCCCCAGCTGAGGCAAAGGTAATATCTCCCTGACAAATACTGATATAATAAAAGCAGTCCCACAAAAAGTGCACCAGGAAATGCCAGGAAACAGAAGTGCAAGGAGTGAAATGCAAAAACTATGAAGCATTTTCCCCCCTTTCCCATAAACTGCACCTCAAAGAGGTTCTTCACACTCTGCTTCCTACCAGGGATCCACCAGGTTTACAAAGAAACATTGGCACAATTTCATTTGGTGCATTGGTCTTTTTAGAGAGAGGTTTTTTTTTTTGAGAGACTCAAAAAATGGAATGGGGCACAGGAGTGACAAGGTCAGAACAGAGCACAGTCTCCAACCTGACTCATCAGTGTCTTTCTCTGCAAATGGGCAGGGAAACCCAAAGTGGATATTAATTAGTAGTGTTGCCATGAGAGATTTTCTTTAACCCCCAGAACTTAGCACTGTCATCCCAGATTTTAGCCACAGGGTTCTCAGGGTTTACACCAATATTCACTGCAGTCACAGAATCCCAGAATCTTCTGAAAAAGCCACCCCAGCCCATCGAGTCCAACCTGTGCCACATCCCCACCTTGTCCCCAGCCCAGAGCACCCAGTGCCACCTCCAGCCCTTCCTGGGACACCCCAGGGATGGGATCCAAACCTGCCTGGGCAATTCCAGTGCCTGAGCATCCTTTCCATGGGGAAATTCCTGCTGATCCAACCTGATCCAGCCTGAATCCTTGTGGATCCCCAGGCAGCTGAAGGCAGAGGGACTCCCCAGTGGAATGACTTCGATAATTTCCATTTTGCCTCTGTGAACAAGCCCAGCCTGGGGCGATCCTGCCCTGCTTCCCCAGGCCTGCCCAGCAGCAGGTGCTGGGGGATGGCACTCGCCTGCCTCTCCCTCCACCAGCAGCCCACAGGGAGCATTTCCCGGCTGTGCAGGGTGGCAGTGGGATGTGCTGGGCATGGTGCTGCCTCCTCACACCCTCCTGGCACTCATTCCACCCCCTCCCACTGCTGAGTGCCCGCACAGGACACTGGCGTCCTCACCTTGTCCTCCTCCTCGTCCTCCCCGCTGTCACCAGGAGCACAGGAGTGTGGAGAGCAGACAGAGCTGTCCCCAGAGGAGAGCTGGACAATGCCCAGCTCCTCTTCAGCCCCACTCCCAGCACAGCCTCCTGCATCCTCCGTCCCACACCCAGCTGCATCTCCCCCGAATTCACCTGCAAACTCCTCCCACGAGTTCCAGGTATTTCCAAGCCAAAGGGCTCAACCCCGCTCTGGCTGACACCTGGCCCTTGCTCTTTGTCCTGCCTGGGATTTCCTGGAATTCCCAGAAAAGGGGAGCAAACGTGGAAAACAGAGGCGTGCCAGCTGGCTCCAGAGGATGGAGATGAGGAGGAGGGGGGATGCAGAAGCACTGCTGGCACTTGCAGGAGCACAGTTGGCACAGAGGAGCTGAATGTATGATTTGGAGACTTCCTAGAATGAGGCAGCAGGCTCAGTCAGAGCACTCTTACTTTTAAATCAGTGTTTACAGAGTCCTGGGCAAACTCAGCTCTTTCTGTCTGTCCTGGTCAGACAGAAAGGAAATAAGGAGGAGGAGGAGGAAATAAGACAAACACACCTGGTGTAGAAGGAGTTCTTTAAGCAAACTCAGCCTGACTCATGTTTGTTTTCTAACGGTGTTTTGGGACAGCACTGACAGAGCCAAGGTCAGGCTGGCTGAGGCAACAGGCAGAGGGAAGATCTCAGAGGAGAGGAAGGTGCTGCTCCTTGCCCATCAGAGCAGCCCCCATTCCTGCTGGCAATGCTCCCATCCCTGGCTCCCTGTTTCCTGGGCACACCTGAGGCTCTTCCCCCATGGGGTGGCACTGCACAACTGCACATCCCTGGATACCTTCCCTGGAGAATGACCTCAGCCAGAGCATCCATCACCCTCTGCTACACTGACAAAATCCAAATAATCTCCTAAAAAGAGCCACCCTGCCTTTGCCAAGTGAAACCAGCCAACTGCAGTAACGGGACAGCAAAAAAAATCATCCTCAAAAAACACTGGGCAATATTCCCATTTAAAGGAAAGCATTTTGGGTTTAAGAAGAAATGAAGTCATAATGACATCACACATTTCAAAGCACACTCCAGGCTCTGAAGCTGGCAAACCAGGACTTGGCTCCTTCCTCACTGCCCTCAAGCAGCACAGACTTGCAGCTGGGTAATGTTTTAATTACTCAGCCTTCTATCAAGTTTCCGAGGGTGAAGTTTGCTTTGGGGCACGGGGAGATGCCCCAGGGTTGAGGAAGTGCCTCTGTTCTGTCACTCGCGGGCACAGCTCTGTCTGTCCCCGAGTGGGACCCACAAAGTGGCTGCACTCCCAGCACCTGAATCGAAGCATCCAGGCTCGGGCAGGACTCCTGCGAGCCTCCCTCAGCCTGGGGTAATTCTGAGCAAGCTTCGGCAGCCGTGAAATGCTTTAACCTCGCTGACACGAGCTCGGGACGGATACAGAGCTTGGGGAGCCCCGGTGTGAGCGGAGCCTTTGCACTCTGGACCCTGGCACAGCACAGAGTGCTGGAAAACACCTTCACCACACAATCACACAACAGTTAAGGCTGGAAAACCCCTCCGAGACCCTCGAGTCCAGCCGTTCCCCCAGCACTGCCAAGGCCACCCCTGAGCCGTGTCCCCAAGGGCCACAACCTGCCCGTCCTCTCAGCTCCTCCAGGGACAGCCATTCATTCTCACTTCAGCAAAGTTGCCCACCCGTGCAGAGCCCGCCGAGCCTCCCCTGCCCTCCCGGTGACTTCCCCCGTGCCAGGGGCTCTGCTCTCTGCCCACCTCGGTCCCGCTGCTCCCGCGGCTCCGTGCTGCCCATCCCAGCGGGTGCTGCTCGCTGCCACCTTCACCTGTGCGGCCACGCAGCGAGCAGCCTTCCTCCGCTCCCTCCGAGCGCCCCGGGGCGACAGCGGGCACGGCACCGGGGCGACAGCGGGCACGGCACTGGGGGGACAGCGGGCACTGTATACAGGGGACAGCGGGCACGGCACTGGGGGACAGCGGGCACTGCACCGGGGGACATCGGGCACTGCACACAAGGGACACCGGGCACCGCACCCGCGCCACCCTCGCCGCTGCCGAGGGGCGCTCCCATTGCGATGCCGGCGAACAGAGCTCCCCCCGGCGCGGGTTTGCCACCCTCCCAGCGGATCCGCCGCCCGCCCGCTCCCTCCGCCGCCCCCGGCTCACCGTGGCCGGGGCAGAGCCCCGCGGCGCCCGGCGCGGCTCCCCCGGCGCGGCCGCTCATCCCGGCGGGCTGGGCAGGAGGCTGCCGGCGCTGCCCGGGTGGGATGCGGTCTGTCCTGCCCGCCCGGGTGGGATGCGGTCTGTCCTGTCCCCCAGGTGGGGATGCGGTCTCTCCTGTTCCCCAGGTGGGGATGCGGTCTGTCCTGTCCCCCAGGTGGGGATGCGGTCTCTCCTGTCCCCCCAGGTGGGGATGCGGTCTCTCCTGTTCCCCAGGTGGGGATGCGGTCTCTCCTTTCCCCCCAGGTGGGGATGCGGTCTCTCCTGTCCCCCCAGGTGGGGATGCGGTCTGTCCTGTTCCCCAGGTGGGGATGCGGTCTCTCCTGTCCCCCAGGTGGGGATGCGGTCTCTCCTGCCCCCCAGGTGCGGTGTGGTCTCTCCTGTTCCCCAGGTGGGGATGCGGTCTCTCCTGTTCCCCAGGTGGGGATGCGGTCTCTCCTGTCCCCCAGGTGGGGATGCGGGTCTCTCCTGTTCCCCAGGTGGGGATGCGGTCTCTCCTGTCCCCCAGGTGCGGTGCGGGGCTGCGCTCCCGGCCGAGGCTCCGCGGGCAGCGCCCGCCCCCGGCCCGCCCCGCACGGGGAGCGGGGGTGCCCGGCCCTGTCCCCGCCCCGCCCGGGCACAGCCGGGGCTGTCTCCCCGAGACACCGACCCCGAGCTCGCCCCCGGTGCCCCGGGAGCCGTGCGAGCGCTGTGGGCAGGGCGGATCTCCCTTTGTCCCGGTGAATTCTCGCCGATGTTTCTCCCTCGCCTCCGGAGCAACTTCAGGGATCGGTGGCTTGCTTTGATTGCTTGTGTGCAGAAGGGAAGTGGAGCAAGCCCATCTTACTATAACTTGGTCGACTGGAAACGCTTTTTAAAGATCTGAGGGGTTTTGGCAAAGATCTTTCGATGGATTTCTCAAAACTAACAAAAAATTGGCGGTATTTCCAAGCATGCTGCAAAAGGCTTTTTCAGTTGGAGCATCAGTCCAGCTCCCCTGACATTATTGGAGCTTTGGCAGATGAAATCTGGCCCTGAAACCCTCAACAGAGCTCAGTCTTGGCAGAGCAGGACACCGCAACCAGCTCATCAGCTGAACTTTTAAAATACCCATTGAAATAAACCCAGCACAAACCCGGGACCTGAGCAGCTCCATCCCCAGGTGTGCTCACCTGCACCTTCCACTTCTGGAGCTGCAGTTTGGGGTTCGGGGGTTTCAAGCTGCCTTTGTACACTCACTGCAGGGCTGGGATTTCTCAGAGATCACTGCATTCACGGGCAGATGCAGAGCACACTCAGGGGCAGAGGTGTAATTTGGTTTGGGGCATTTCCATGACCTTTAGTCACAGCTGAGGTCCTTGCCCTGGAAAAGGGACATCTCCAGTTGTGTGTGGATGAGGAGAAACCAGAGCACCCACAGAAGTGCAATACCTGCTGCTTGCTGACAAAATACATCAGAAAAGTAAATGTACATTAAACACATTATCAACTTGTTTGATAGGACTCAATTTTTTTAAGATCTGGGGGGTTTTGGCAAAGATTTTTCAATGTATTTCTCAAAAATTTGGTGGTGTTTTCAGGCAGTGCAGGCAAACACCACCCAGGCGTGCGTGCTACATGTGCTTGTCCATCACTATAGAAACTGAAAGACAGAGAAAGAATAACATGAACAAAAGTAAAGCACATCCAATCCATGAAGAAACACCTTGTCACAATGTGGATTTCTCAGCCTCAAAGGACCAAAATCAAAGTGAAAGGAGCCGCTCTGAGTGGAGCTGTTAAAGAGCTCCTGAAACAATTTTGGGTTGCCTGCATTTTCCTCTCCATGGTACTGATGTGAGTTTTCTGGATATTATTGGTATTTACTAATAGTAGACACTAGTGGTAGCTACTCACTAGTGTAGCCTCTGCCTTTAATGCTGAATCTATACATAAATTCTTCATGGGGCAAACAATTGTAGTTCTTCCTGGCAAGATCTGAGTGCTCAGAGCAGCTCCTCACCTGCCTTCCAAGGTGTTCCCAGCCAGGATCTCCAGCAGCATCTCCTAAAGGGGAAAAATGGCACAAAGGGGAAAAATGGCACAAAGGGGAAAAATCAGAGTGTGGAGCCCTGAGCCAAGCCCATCCCGAGTTTGTGGGAGGGGGAGAACTGAGGTGAAATGGGTTCCTGTGCTCTCCTTTCAATGTTTGAGTGGCTTGAGGGCCAGCAGTGCCCTGGGGCAGGTTAAAGCTGCTCAGGGGGAGGCAGAGCCCAAGCCCCTTCCCCCTGTGGCTGTTGTGAACCTGAGCCCTGCTGAGCCCCGGTGCTGTCCCCAGCTGTGCTCATGCTCCATCCCCCTCCTCTCACTGCACCTTCCTCTCCAGGACTGGCAAAAGTTCATTCCACCTGAATGGGATGCCTAAAAAACCAAAAAAACCCCCAAACAAACAAAAAAGAAAGGAATTAAATTTTTAAACAGGAAAATTGGAAAGTATTAGAGAGGGAGATAAAACACTGGAGGATTTTTTTTTTTTTTTCTTTCCTGTTTTTCCTCCCCGCCTCCTTTTCCTCCTGCTCTAACAATGATGAATCCCAAGATCTGGTCGGGAAGGAGAGTGGCTGAGTGATTCATCGGGACTGAATCACAGCCCCTCTGCAGAGGAATTGGCTGCTGCTGCTGCAGGTGCAGCTCCAGCCCTGCCCCATCCCTCCCTGCTGCCCCTGAGGAGCAGAGGGACAAAGCCAGCCCCAGGGAGCAGCTCTGCCTCTGCTCCCCCTCTGGGAGGGGATTTATCCACAAGGGATACACTGATTTTCTGAGGGTTTCACCCGCTGCTGGATCACGCAGCCTCCCACTCCCCCGGGGAAGAACTTCCCTTCTGTTCCATTTTAAATGCAAGTTTTCCCCCCTCCCTCTCAGAGATTCCCCCACTAATCCTGGGGTACAGCAGCGGTTGGTACCCAGAGCTAGGCTGGAAAATTGGGATGCAGCAGCTGAATTCCTGGGATTTCCCAGTGCTCGGTTTTTCTCAGGGACATCAGGGGGAAATTCTGGTCTGCAGCTGATTTACAGCATCAGCTGGGTTGCTGCTTGTCCTTACGGAGAATTTTGCCTCTGTGTTGTCACCACCTCCTCCCTTCCCATTTTTCACAGCCAGAACACTCCGGATTGCCAGGAATCCAAATTCCCAGGCTCCTGCTGAAAGTGCTCAGCCGAGCCGAGGTGGGGCCAGCTCAAAACTGAAATGGTCAGGAGGAAGAGGCTCACCCTGGTGATTCCCAAAGGACAGGTTTTTAAATAATCCAACTCTGCCCTCTGTGGTAGGAGCCCTCCCTGGCTGCAGCGCAGCTGATCTGCTCCCCACGGGTTATTTATACCTGCAGACACAAATCTAAAACCCAGTTTAAGGCAGGCCTGACTTTTAGCTGTAAAGCTGAACATTTGGGTCATTTTTACCAGTGCAACTATCACCGTTCTTAACACAGACATTGTCAGTTCAGCTTTCACTGGAGGGGCACAGAATTATTTTGCAGGCCTTGAAAGACCCTCTCAGAGTGACCCTTGGAGATATTTGTTATCTCAAAGGTGGAACCAAAGCCAGGGGCAACCATGTGAGCATCATCTGGAGAGTCAGAGCTGGAGGCAAATTCCACATTTTCAGTCTGTGGGCTGGAAACCACTAAACAATCCCTCAGAAATGTAAGGATGAAATTCCTTCTGGCAGAGCTCTCCTGAGTCCTGGGCATCTCAATTTCTCTCTGTAGGCCACACAAGTGTGACAGAACTTTCCATTCTTTTCTTTTAACTGGTTTTTTTTTTTTTTTTTCCCTAAAATCCTCTTTCTAATGAACAATTTGCACTTGTTTCTCTGCTCCCGCAAGGAAGTTTTGGAAGAAAACCAAAAGGGAAGCAGAAATCCAACTCCTGCCATGCCCCCAGGGCTGAGGGGTGGTTGGGGGTTTGTCCTTTTTGCCCTGCAGAGCTCCTTCCCTGCCAGGGCACAGGGATGGATTCCCGGGGTGTGGAGCCCTCCTGGGCTGCCTCATTGCCATGCAGATGAGGCTGGGTGTAATTCCATGCAGTGTAATTCCATGTGAATACAGATAACTGATGCGCCTGTGAATAAGAGAGCCAGTGAATCATTCATCATGGATTATTGATAGGATTAATTTTACCTCTTTTTCTGCTCTCAGGATGCCCACAAACCCCTCCTCCCTGAATTTATTTTCCCCTCTTTTATGGAATATTTCTGGAGACAAAGTAGATTAAATCCCAGTAATTTCTCTCCTCTTTGCTGGTCTGAATGAGATGTTTGCTGTCAGGTTAACCCTTGCAGACTCCCCCTGGCAGTGCCCTCCCCGCTGGCATCACACCCCTCGGGCTCACACTGGCTTTTTGACATCAGCCAGGACAGGACACCCCCAGTTCTGTGGGTGGTGCTCCCGTGTCCCCTCGCTGGGTGGGACGAAGGTCCTGCCCAGTCTGAGCATGGCTCCCAGCACCACGGGGACGGTTTGGGGTGATTTTCCCCAAATCCAGTGATTTTTCCCCAAATCCACTGCTCCCTGGAGATGGCTGCACACCCTGCTGGGGCCCGAGGCTGCTGTTTCCATGGCAGCACGTAGCCAATGGCACTTGGATTGAGCAGGAACCAAAATAAACCTGCAGAGAGACTCCCCCAGCCCAGCCCTGGCCTCTGGGGACCCCAGGCTGCTGCTGTGGCTTTGTCCTCCGAGTTCTCCTGGAGCTCTGTGACTTGGGGCTTCTGTGAAATACAAAACCAATTTCCCAAATCCTTTACCTGCTTCGTGAGGCAAAGTCATTTCTGATTATTAAATCCCTATTAAAAAAAAAAAATAAAAGGAAAAAGAAGGATAATTTTTTACTCAAACAGAAGGGAAGAGCCTGCAGGTGGTTTGCAAACCACTCCTGCCAACCCCCAGAGGTAAAACCAAGCTGTGCCCAGGCAGAGAGTCCTGAGCTCAGCTCCTGCCAGGGCTCCACTTCCCAGAATTGCCTTTCCTCACATTCCTTTCACTTTTCCAGGGATCTGAGCCAGAGCTGCCAGCCCAGAGCTCTGCTACCCAGGGGTTTAGGCCAGGCTTTGATAAGACTGACACGGGGCTTTTCCCCTCTCTGCTGGGCTCAAGGGCACAGCTGGGATTTCACAACCAGCCCTGGCTCCAATATGCAGAAGACAATTCAGTATTTACCCTTCCAGGAAATAAACACCAGGAGCTGCCCGGCCAAACTTAACTCACCTCTTTTGCCACGTTTAACCTTCAGCCATTTTCACATCTCCTTTCTGCACTTTCCACCCTGGTTTGGGCAAAATTCATGGCAACATGCACAGAGCCTTGAAGGGGAAGGCATCAGCA